ACCACCATCTAGAAACCCATCAGTTACACAACCCAGGGCAAACATGGGTTTAGAACAGGTCGCTCCTGTCTGTCTCAACTATTGGATCACTACGACAAGGTCCTAAATGCACTAGAAGACAAAAAGAATGCAGATGTAATATATACAGACTTTGCAAAAGCCTTCGACAAGTGTGACCATGGCGTAATAGCGCACAAAATGCGTGCTAAAGGAATAACAGGAAAAGTCGGTCGATGGATCTATAATTTCCTCACTAACAGAACACAGAGATTAGTCGTCAACAGAGTAAAGTCCGAGGCAGCTACGGTGAAAAGCTCTGTTCCACAAGGCACAGTACTCGCTCCCATCTTGTTCCTCATCCTCATATCCGACATAGACAAGAATGTCAGCCACAGCACGTGTCTTCCTTTGCAGATGACACCCGAATCTGCATGACAGTGTCTTCCATTGCAGACACTGCAAGGCTCCAGGCGGACATCAACCAAATCTTTCAGTGGGCTGCAGAAAACAATATGAAGTTCAACGATGAGAAATTTCAATTACTCAGATATGGTAAACATGAGGAAATTAAATCTTCATCAGAGTACAAAACAAATTCTGGCCACAAAATAGAGCGAAACACCAACGTCAAAGACCTGGGAGTGATTATGTCGGAGGATCTCACCTTCAAGGACCATAACACTGTATCAATCGCATCTGCTAGAAAAATGACAGGATGGATAATGAGAACCTTCAAAACTAGGGAGGCCAAGCCCATGATGACACTCTTCAGGTCACTTGTTCTATCTAGGCTGGAATATTGCTGCACACTAACAGCACCTTTCAAGGCAGGTGAAATTGCCGACTAGAAAATGTACAGAGAACTTTCACGGCGCGCATAACGGAGATAAAACACCTCAATTACTGGGAGCGCTTGAGGTTCCTAAACCTGTATTCCCTGGAACGCAGGAGGGAGAGATACATGATTATATACACCTGGAAAATCCTAGAGGGACTAGTACCGAACTTGCACACGAAAATCACTCACTACGAAAGCAAAAGACTTGGCAGACGATGCACCATCCCCCCTATGAAAAGCAGGGGTGTCACTAGCACGTTAAGAGACCATACAATAAGTGTCAGGGGCCCGAGACTGTTCAACTGCCTCCCAGCACACATAAGGGGGATTACCAACAGACCCCTGGCAGTCTTCAAGCTGGCACTGGACAAGCACCTAAAGTCAGTTCTTGATCAGCCGGGCTGTGGCTCGTACGTTGGTTTGCGTGCAGCCAGCAGCAACAGCCTGGTTGATCAGGCTCTGATCCACCAGGAGGCCTGGTCACAGACTGGGCCACGGGGGCGTTGACCCCCAGAACTCTCTCCAGGTAAACTCCAGGTATTGCTCCTGTTGAAATTACTGTGATCCACCAGGAGGCCTGGTCACAGACCGGGCCGTGGGGGCGTTGACTTCCGGAACTCTCTCCAGGTAAACTCCAGGTAAACTGTGACCACCGCTCCAATAGTTTGTCCTTCCTTAGCCATTGATATAAATAGGTACTCTTCTTTACCCAAACTAATAAATGTAACTAAATTGGTGTTTAAATTTCTAAACAAGATGAATATTTCATATAAGTTTTCACATCCTCTTGAATATTGGATAAAGAGGGTACAGGAGGAAATCTATGGTAATGAGATTAAATTGATGATGGAAAGAAAAAATTGTGAAAGGTTCCATAATAGAGAAATTGAGGCTGTATTTAGAGAACAGTGTAATTAGGTGCAGAGGTAGGTTACAAAATGCTGAATTGGGTGATTATGCTAAACACCCTATCTTACTGCCCAAAACTCTTCATCTAACAAATTTGATTGTTCTAAATGCCCATAAAAATGTAATGCATGGTGGGGTACAAGATACCTTAAATTGTATTAGGGAAACTTTCTGGATTCCATAAGGACGGCAACGTGTAAAAAGGGTGATTAAATCTTGTGTAATATGTCGCCATGTGGATGCCAGATCCTATATGTACCCAGGTCCTCCACCATTGCCAAAGGAGCATGTACAATTAGTGAAACCATTTGATGTAACAGGTGTAGACTATAGTGGTCCAATAATTTTAACAGGTACGTCGAATGGTGTTCCACTGAAAGTGTATGTTTGTTTGTTCACCTGTACTGCTACTTGGGCAGTTCATTTAGAAGTGGCACAGGACTTGTCTACAGAACAGTTTATACAGCTGTTTCGAAAATTTGCAGCTAGGAGATCCTGTCCGAGGTTGATAATTTTGGATAATGCCACAAATTTTGTAGCAGGTGCTCAACACTTGATAGAATTAAATAATAGTAACGATGTTCAATCTCTGTTAACCCAGCGAGGGTGTACCTGGAAATTTATTACTCCTAGAGCCCTTTGGCAGGGGGGGCTGTACGCAAGACTGATAGCCTGGAGTTTACCTGGAGAGAGTTCCGGGGGTCAACGCCCCCGCGGCCCGGTCTGAGACCAGGCCTCCTGGTGGATCAGAGCCTGATCAACCAGGCTGTTGCTGCTGGCTGCACGCAAACCAACATACGAGCCACAGCCCGGCTGATCCGGAACTGACTTTAGGTGCTTGTCCAGTGCCAGCTTGAAGACTGCCAGGGGTCTGTTGGTAATCCCCCTTATGTGTGCTGGGAGGCAGTTGAACAGTCTCGGGCCCCTGACACTTATTGTATGGTCTCTTAACGTGCTAGTGACACCCCTGCTTTTCATTGGGGGATGGTGCATCGTCTGCCAAGTCTTTTGCTTTCGTTAGTGGGTGATTTTCGTGTGCAAGTTCGGTACTAGTCCCTCTAGGATTTTCCAGGTGTATATAATCATGTATCTCTCCCTCCTGCGTTCCTGGGAATACAGGTTTAGGAACCTCAAGCGCTCCCAATAATTGAGGTGTTTTATCTCCGTTATGCGCGCCGTGAAAGTTCTCTGTACATTTTCTAGGTCAGCAATTTCACCTGCCTTGAAAGGTGCTGTTAGTGTGCAGCAATATTCCAGCCTAGATAGAACAAGTGACCTGAAGAGTGTCATCATAGGCACAGTGAAGAGGTGTCTCCGCAAAGTACTACACCGGAAGAGAATTAATTTGGAAGAATTCCATGCAGTGTTAGTGGAGGCAGAAAATCGTATAAATAATAGGCCTCTCTCGTACATGAGTGATACACCTGATGCAGATGTAATAACACCTTCTCACCTAATATGTGGAAGGAAACTGGAAGCTGCCCCTGTCTATAGAGATAATCCGGAAGAAAGTGATGAAGATTACAATGATGCGGCAGTGTTGTGTAATAAATTTAAAATGTTAAATAAAGTAATTGATCTTTGGTCTAGTGTGTGGCGTAAGGAATATCTTCTTACACTACGTGAACACTTTTATGGTGCGACAGAGGCAGTAAATCGACAGACCATTCAACCAGGTGACATTGTGTTAATTGACACTGAACAACATCGAACATTGTGGCCTCTGGGCAAAGTATTGACATTGTACCCAGATGCACAAGGTGTTGTCAGGAATGTCAAAGTGTTGTGTCGTGGCCAGGAAAGTTTACGCACAATTAAGAAATTGATTCCCTTGGAATTAGGTGTTCAATCAAACGTAAATGAAAATCTGAGGGAAAGTGACACGAGTGATATGGAAGATAACGCAGACCAAGTGATGCCGGAAGATGAAATCGTAGTAAGACCTTCTAGGAGAACAGCCACTCAAGCCAGAACTGGCTGGAATCGTCTCCTAAAGGAAGGAGTAATTTGAATCGTTTAGCAACGAACTCCGGCTGGCCACAGTGTGGAAAATACTGTATATATTTTCCAGAAATTTAGTATTTATATGTAAATAGATGGCCATACTGTATTTAATAATATTTATGTCATAGAAAACGGAAAGCCTGCGTCTGCGCAGACGAGACTCGCCATCTTGGTTTTGAATTGGATACAAAGTTAGCATAATGGGAAGGAATTTTCGTGCTCTAGAGGTTAAAATTGGGCTGACACCTCTCAAATAGGAGGCAAAATTGTTGGACATGCATTCCTGCATAACTTGAGATATCAGACGACTGGACAAGATAGCTCCAGGAACCTCAGATAAGCTCTCTAGATTTGTGTATAATTCTGGCCAGTGTTTTCATAAATTTAGTTAGTGAGGTTTTTCTGAGTATGATACAACTTAATATCCAGTCAAATTGGTGAGTGATGTTAAGATATATTTTCCTTCTGTCATGTAATTGTGTATATATATAACCATTTATTATTTTTAATATACAGTCCACAAATTTATATATTTACCAGTATTCCTGGTGTATGTATATTTCATTTAATTAATAGGTCCAGAGCAACTTGTGGTTATGACAGTGGTAAGTATCGAAGGGGGACATTTTTTGCGACCTAGGTGTCCCAAATTCCTACTTGTCTATGTAACACTGGTAAATAATAATTATCTTTGTTATCATTTACTGTTATGTGCATAATTAGTTACATTCAGATAAATGCAATTTTCCACACAATGAAAGGTTCAGCGGTAAAAATTATCGTAAACAATTATAACATCACTCATCAATTATAACATCACTCATTATTCATCACGCCAAGCTACTTCCATTATTCTTGATTATTCTTACATTATAACACATTTTATGAGTACTCAAAGTACTCACCTAATTGTGATTGCAGGGGGTCGATTATGTTACAGTTTTAGTCCGTACTAAATGCTTTACTCAGATTTCCCCTTTTTTTCAAAGATGTTCACTCAAAATGTAATACTTCTTTTACTCTTTAAAATATTTTGTTGTTGTTTTGTATAAAACAAGAATTGAGGCGAGAGCAGAGGTGTAGACACTGTTACCAGAAGCATTGCCAACATGTACATGTTAATGGGAAGTTGCTGCTAATTATTTAAATATAAGATGGAGGTAGTTTATAGTTAGATAAATGTATTTCTTAAAGTAAGCCTGACGCAAAGCTATTAAAGTACATCCATATAATTTGTAATCACATTTTTTTCTTCTGGTGAGTTGGCAAAAGTAGCAGACATAAACATAGGAGGTGTTGGAGGTGTTACAAGTATCAAACATCTGTGCAAGCTGCACATATTTTGATGGTGACACGCGCACCTTAGGCACACTACACTGGTATGTTCAGTTTTACCCATTATACTGAGAAATTCTATACTCTGTATATGGTTTAATTAATAACATGGGCAAGTCTCAGGGCAGACCATTAATATTTGTAAGGCAATGATTGCTCGACCTCTAACCCATGGGGATTTAGTGTTCATTTGTGAGTTATAATATTGATTGCTGTATTCCTGGAACAAAAACATATTTTTTTACGACAGGTGGCCTTCATCCAAGTAGGTGATACAAAAATATTCATCATTATTTTATTTATTCGATAGCAGTCTTGCCTGAGAAGCGCAGACATCGCAATTTAAATGATCTTCCGAATTGCAACATCCCGCCCTTCCTGCAGAGTGCAGATACTGTATTTCCCACCTCCAGGACTCGAGTACGACAAACCGGATTTCTAAAATCCCTTCATTGATATTGCCTTGCTCACACTCCAACAGCACATCAAATCCTTAAAACTGCTCGTCTCCAGTCACTGTGATCTAACATACTCAAACACACTTGTTGCATCGTCAAACCCTTACTACTAAAAATATCCTGTACATCTAGCCCTACCTATGATGACCTTCGCTCTCCAATTTGTAATATTTTAAATTTAAGAATTAATCTAAGTTTGCCCGAAATGCCTAGCCATGCTAGGTGTTCTAGTGGCACACTCTGTAATTAGTACTTTACTACATGTAAACCACACAATAACCAAATTCTGTAAACTCAGCATTGTAATTCTTATAGAGAATAAACTTTGAATTGAATTGAATTGAATTCTTCCATCCCATATTTATACACCCTCTTGGTCACCCTTGTTCAGCATCATCCTCTCTAAATGCCCAAACAACTTCAACAAGTCCTTCTTTACCCTCTGAATTATATCTTTCATAACCTCATACTCTCCTTAATAATAATAATATCTTTATTTACTAAAAGTATATTTACAAGGTATACAGGCCTAGTTGACATCAATGACATACTACTATATGGAAAACCCCTTTTAATGCAGAGCATTTCGGGCAAATTAGGGCCTTGTCCCAGGATGCGACCCACTCCAGGCGACTAACTCCTAGGTACCAATTGTACTGATGGGTGAACATGGTTACAGCACACATTGCTTTCTAATATGATATCTGCACTGCCTCCAACCTCCTCCTTGCTGCAACATTTACAGCCTATCCTTACACTTATATAAAAGGGGTTGATACCACTGTAGATTAGTTTATACAGATAACAGAACGCTTCACTTACCTCTTCCCCCTTTTTTTCCCTTCTTCAGCAAGATTATGATGAAGTAAGAGAGTTTATTTAGGTACAGGTTCACTTAAGTGCAATTATCATACATTGTATCATATGTGTAAATTACCTAGGATAATCCAGAAAAGTCAGAAAAGGTGACTTATTTCCATTTATATAATAATAATAATGATTTATTTTGACATGATACATAGTTGTACAGTGGAATATAACAGTTGAGTGTACATGCCAAAAGCCCCCTGTATGCAGAGCATTTCAGGCAAACTTAAAATTAACTTAAGATTAATTAGGCTATAACATTAAATGGTCATTGTGTGAGTTACAGTGAGTACAGAGACTTGAGTATTTTAATAGGTAATGCTAAATGGCTTTAATAGGTCTCATGGAGAGAAGTTTAGTAGTGAATAATTACAGTTTTGAATTATTTTATAAAAATTACAGTATTACATTTGAACAATTTAAACAGTTTACAATATGAAGTGCAGTTGAGTATTTAAAACAATGAAATTTGAACATTACAATTTTGACGCATTACAGTTTTACAGTGGAACAATTTAAATAATTTACTATGTGAAGTATTGCAATTTAGTATTCAGAACAACGAAATTTGAGTCCTTAATATTTATAACTTTATTTTACTTACAGTATGTGTAATACTAGATAGGTTTAACTGATTCACAAATAACCCCCATTGAAGAGGAGATTTTAGGTTACATTTTGGTCCATTCAGGACCATTATTAGGTCACAATTGGGACTTGACAATGAAACAGGAATGACCAAAACATATGAAGACTTCTCTCCAGTATTGTTTATTTGTAAATTTTTACAGCCATGGTATTTACTGGTAATTCATTATTTACATCAGCACATTCAGGACAGTACAAGGATTACACTTTTTTATAGGTCACTTTATACATGAATACAGTGGCTGGTTCTATTAAAGATGAGGTGAACCACAGACTTGACAAAGGAAAAAAGGTGGGTGGTGCATCGAGTCCTCTCTGTTGATACATGGAGGCTAAAAGGGGAATGTACCAGAGTACAGTGGTACAGTGGAACCCCAGTTTTTGTCTGGTCCAGTTATCATACTGTTCAGTTTTTGACCACTTTTTTCGGCAAAATTTTCCCCGTTTTTGTACATCCGCTTGGAAATCGCCCATGCCAGACGCGTCCACCTGCCTGCGGGACATGGCCACTCATACGTTCTTGACTCAGTCTGCCTCTGGTAATGGACAGTGCTCCTGCTCATCCTCCAGACTTGGAAGACCAATTGTTGGGGGAGTTTAGTTTCATCACAGTGAAGTTCTTGCCCCCTAATACCACTCCTCTCATCCAATCCATGGACCAGCAGGTCATTTCAAACTTCAAAAAACTTTATACCAAAGCAAAGTTTCAAAGGTGCTTTTAAGTGACCTCGGACACTGAATTGACCCTAAGAGAGATCTGGAGGAATCACTTCAGTATCCTCAGTTCCATAAGCCTTATAGATAAGGCTTGACAGGAAGTGACGTCCAGGACAATGAACTCTGCTTGGAGAAAATTGTGGCCAGAATGTGTCCTCCAGAAGGATTTTGAAGGGTTTGAGGCTGACCCTGACGACCCTACACCTGTTGTGGAATGTGTTATGTCTTTGGGGAAGTCTATGGGGTTGGAGGTGAGTGGCCAGGATGTGGAAAAGTTGGTGGACGACCACAGGGAAGAGCTAACCACTGAAGAGCTGCAAGACCTTCATCTGGAACAGCAACAAACCTCAGCTGAGGAAATTGCTTCAGAGGAGGAGGAAGAGAGAGGAGAGAATGTGCCTTCTTCAGCGATTAAGGACATTTGTGCAAAGTAGAGTGAGGTGCAAAGTTTTGTGGAGAAATATCACCCTAACAAAGCTGTTGCAAGCCGTGTCAGCAACATGTTCAATGACAATCTTGTGTCCCATTTTAGGCAAATCTTAGATGCCAGAAACAGGCCTCTCTGGTCAGATTTTTTGTGCGGCATTGGTCCAGAGGCACTCAAGCTGGTCCTAGTGGCAGTAAAAGACAAAGGGAAATAACCCTGGATAGGGCTTTGATACCTGAAGTCCTTATGAAGGAGGATTCCCCTTCCAAACAATAACCTCTCTTCCCTCTCCCCTCCTCGCCATCTTCCATACGCCAACAAGTCTCTTCAATAAAGCAATATTTCCCATAAGAAATAATGTAAATCCAATTTATCCATTTCAGACATACAAAAGTATTAACAAAAAATACATTTTATAGAGAATAACTATAGTTTTAAATACAGAAAACAATGAGAAATAAATATAAAGGACTAATGAAATGGATAAATGAGACAGTTAATATCACTTTTACCTTTATTGAAGACTCTTGTTGGCGTATGGAAGACGCAAGGAGGGAAGAGGGAGGAGGAGAGGTTATTCGTTGCAAGGGGAATCCCCCTCCATAAGGACTTAGGTATCAAGTCCCTATTGGGGTTACTTCCCTTCTTTGTCTTTTACTGTCACTGGACCCCTGTCGCACAAAAAAATCTATCCAGAGAGGTCTGTTTCTTGCGTCTCTTTAAGATTTGCCTAAAATGGGACAAGGCATTGCCATTGAAAGTGTTGCAGACACGACTTACAACAGCTTTGTTAGGGTGATATTTCTCCACAAAACTTTGCAACTCACTCCACTTTGCACACACTGAGGAAGGCACATTCTACCCTCTCTCTTCCTCCTCCTCTGAAGCAATTTCCTCAGCCGAGATCTGTTGCTGCTTCAGTTGAAGGTGTTGCAGCTCTTCAGTGGTTAGCTCTTCCCTGTGGTCGTCCACCAACTCTTCCACATCCTGGCCACTCACATCCAACCCGATGGACTTCCCCAAAGCCCCATGGTGGCTTATTTAGCAGTCACACTCAATAAACAAGCACAAAAAATGGATTATTACTAAATGTTTCGGATGAATGGGCAGGGTAATTTTCACTAGACGAGAAACAAAGCCAGACTGACTCAGAGTGAGTGAGATGCTTTGTGTGGGTGCGGGCAGGCAGACATGTTTGGTACGGTGAACTGTTGAAAACTGAGGTGATGAACGAAAACTGGGACAAAATTTTGAAGAAAAAAATGATAAAAAAACGAATTCGATGAGAACCTGGGCAAATGAAAACCGAGGTTCCACTGTATTCAGCTGATTTGTTCTTTAAATGCTCATGTAATTAATTTTCAGGTAGTATTTAATTTATTCTCTTTATTATATTCCTGTTGTATCCTGTTCTGGCCACAAAATAGAGCGAAACACCAACGTCAAAGACCTGGGAGTGATCATGTCGGAGGATCTCATCTTCAAGGACCATAACATTGTATCAGTCGCATCTGCTAGAAAAATGACAGGATGGATAATGAGAACCTTCAAAACTAGGGAGGCCAAGCCCATGATGACACTCTTCAGGTCACTTGTTCTATCTAGGCTGGAATATTGCTGCACACTAACAGCACCTTTCAAGGCAGATGAAATTGCCGACCTAGAAAATGTACAGAGAACTTTCACGGCGCGCATAACGGAGATAAAACACCTCAATTACTGGGAGCGCTTGAGGTTCCTAAACCTGTATTCCCTGGAACGCAGGAGGGAGAGATACATGATTATATACACCTGGAAAATCCTAGAGGGACTAGTACCGAACTTGCACACGAAAATCACTCACTACGAAAGCAAAAGACTTGGCAGACGATGCACCATCCCCCAATGAAAAGCAGGGGTGTCACTAGCACGTTAAGAGACCATACAATAAGTGTCAGGGGCCCGAGACTGTTCAACTGCCTCCCAGCACACATAAGGGGGATTACCAACAGACCCCTGGCAGTCTTCAAGCTGGCACTGGACAAGCACCTAAAGTCAGTTCCTGATCAGCCGGGCTGTGGCTCGTACGTTGGTTTGCGTGCAGCCAGCAGCAACAGCCTGGTTGATCAGGCTCTGATCCACCAGGAGGCCTGGTCACAGACCAGGCCGCGGGGGCGTTGACCCCTGGAACTCTCTCCAGGTAAACTCCAAGTAATACCTTTTGTAATTAATTTTCATTTATTTGATTTAATCTGTTTTATTCTGTGAATCTATGATTGGGCTGCTATAAGTAAAGAATTACAAGGTTCTTAATGGAAATAAGTCACTAATTTTTTTTTTTTTTTTTGGGGGGGGGGCTTATCCAAGGTAATTTACATACATGTCACTGTATAAGACAAGTGTAAATTGTGTTTAAATAAACTCAATAACATCACAAATATAAAAATGTAATTTATTTTTAGTACTGTACATAGAAGAATTTGATACATATAAGTGAATTAACTAAGGATAAAATTAATGAAAGGTGTAAAGATTTTAATAAATACATAGAGTATAAAACTTATTAATTTGCTAACACTTGTACATACACTGATAAAAAAAGGATAAATCTGTGGCTGTATAAGCTGCCTTACATTTAGCCGTGTCATCACAAGTCTTTGAGATTTCAGTGCTCTATGCTACATCATGCTGGGTTCTAATTATTACTAAGTATTCAACAATGAAATAAGCCATGGCCTGTCTCACTTATCTGACATGCTACTTAATTATATATAGAAGACAGAATACTATGAGCATAGCACTTTGTCCTGTAGCTAGAAACAGATAGTAACAACTATATAACTTTGTGTGGACCTTGACATTGACTTACTTTTTTACCTAAGTCACAGTTGTTGACAGTATCAGTTCTTTAGAAAACAAATTACATCATTAATAGTCTTCCACTTCCTGTGCTCATAATCAGTGTGTTACCTGGAGTATACTGGAGAGGGTTCCGGGGGGTCAACCCACACCCCCCTGGCGGCTCGGTCTGTGACCAGGCCTCATGGTGGATCAGGGCCTGATCAACCAGGCTGTTACTGTTGGCTGTATGCAACTTGATGTACGAACCACAGTCCGGTTGGTCAGGTACTGACTTTACGTACCTGTCCAGTGCCTGCTTGAAGACAGCCAAGGGTCTATTGGTAATCTCCCTTATGTTTGCTTGGAGGCAGTTGAACAGTCTTGGACCCCTCACACTTACTGTGTTGTTCCTTATCCTGCTAGTGGCACCCCTGCTTTTCATTGGGGGGATGTTGCATCATCTGCCGAGTCTTTTGCTTTCATAGGGAGTGATTTTCGTGTGCAAGTTTGGTACTAATCCCTCTAGGATTTACCAAATGTATATAATTATGTATCTCTCCTGCCTGCATTCAAGGGAGTACAGGTTTAGGAACTTCAAGTTTTCCCAGTAATTGAGGTGTTTTATCGCATTTATGTGTGCCATGAAGGTTCTCGGTACATTTTCGAGGTCTAATTAAAAGGTGCTGTGAGTGGGCAGCAGTATTCCATCCTAGATAGAACAAGTGACCTGAAGTATATCATCATGGGCTTGGCATCCCTAGTTTTGAAGGTTCTCATTATCCATCCTGTCATTTTTCTAGCAGATGTAATTGATAAAATGTTATGGTCTTGAAGGTGAGATCTTCTGACATGATCACTCCCAAGTCTTTTACATTAGTTTTTCTCTCTATTGTGTGGTTGGAATTTGTTTTAACTCTGATGTAGTTTTAATTTCTTCACATATTCCATGTTGGCGTAATTGAAATTTCTCTTCATTGAACTTCTTACTGTTTTCTGCAGCCCATTTAAAGATTTAGTTGATATCCGCCTGGAGTGTTGCGGTGTTTTCAGTGAAGGACATTGTCATGCAAATTTGGGTGTCACCTGCAAAGGGAGACACAGCGCTATGGCTTATATCCCTGTCTGTCAGATATGAGGATGAGGAACAAGATGAGAGCGAGTACTGTGCCTTTTGGAATAGAGCTTTTCACCGTAGCCGCCTCAGACTTTACTCTGTTGACTACTACTCTTTATGTTCTATTTGTTAGGAAATTATGGATCCATCTACCAACTTTTCCTGTTATTCCTTTATCACACATTCTGTGCGCTATTACACCATGGTCACACTTGTCAAAGGCTTTTGCCAAGTCAGTGTATATTACATCTGCATTCTGTTTTTTTTCTAGAGCATCCCTGACCTTGTCATAGTGTTTCCTTTTGATGATAAATACCTTTCCCAGGAAAATGGGTGGTATATGACCCAGCAGCTCATTCTCATTGGTCAGGAATTAAGGATTCTTAGTAAATACATGTATGTATATTATTATTATGTGAGCATTTTCAAGTTTTTCCAGGATTCTTTTTTCAGGGATTTGGTTTTTTCTGGCATAGAAAAAGAGAAAAAATCAAATTATCCATAATAGTGACTAGACTATAAATAAATATATTTTATTGTTTAGTGTATTAATAATACTGTATACCAACTTTCCTCTTTTAACAGGATGCTATGGAACTGAATTGCTTGTGACTTAGAGGATGCAAAATGAAATGTGGAGCTTGTGTCAGAGGCACTTTCTTCCCATTTATTCTGCTACTTCATCTTTTGTTACAAGTATTAATCTGTTGTGGTAAAGGAGTGGATGACTTAGTACTAAAGAAGCTTCAGCATCAGTGTTCCTTGGCTGATCCACAGATCCATGAGAATACTGTTTTATATGGAGCCAAGGAAGCAGGTATGGGAATGAGGAGAGAAAATACTTTACAGATCCACTACAGTTCAAATAAGAGAGAGGAAGTGTAGTAAACAATATCATCCAATTTATTTAAAAAAAAAAGCTGAAAAAGAGCATGATTTTTAAGACTAGAATATAGGGGAAATGAAACACATAGGAGAATGAAATTTATGACGACGTTTCGGTCTGACTTGGAAAAAACGTCATTTATTAAAACGAGAGCTCAGTATAATGGTGTTCTTCTAGATACAGTAGATTGTCATTGACCATCTGTGCAATCATTATTTACCATCCAGTAGCAGTGCTTGAATTGTTTACTATAGATATTTTTATGCAAATTCATAGCTAAATGAGAACTTTGTTGTAATCTGATTGTATTTAAAGAGAGTGGAATAAGCATGAAAAATTCAAGATACTTCATTCAGTGTACACACAGTAAGAGTCATAGGTAGAAAAAATAATGAAAATAAAAAGGAAAATTCTATGAGAAATAAAATATGTCAGTATGGAATTTAAAAATATAATAAGGTCATATTGAAGAATTATTAATTTATTTCTTTGATTATATAATGAATATTTAATATTTTTATTAATGAGCTTTCCTAACTGACATTGACACTATAATTTGGTTTTATTCCAGGAAGATATGATGTGATAACTAATGCGACAAACCTGACTGCGTGTGTCCATGCCTGCTGTAGTAATAAAAAGTGTCATGTGGCACTCCTGCATAATGAACATTGTGTCATTGTGGAATGCAGGAATGCTACAATGTGTCGGCTTACTGCAGGTGATGGATCATCGCTTGTAGTGGTAAGGAAAGTGGACGCAAGGAAATTGGAAGATGCACAGCTCAGGTATGTTGGTGCAATTTGCCATTAACAATTAGGCATTCTATCTCTGATATATAATTATGGTAGGTATTTTCATCAGGGGGGTTTATCTTTAAGTTTTCCAATTTACTTGTGTATTCTGTAGGACATAACTTAGGGTGTTGGTATGTTCATTATATTTTCTTTAATTTTTTTTTCACACAGGGTCACGAAAGAATGTTTTCTGTTAAAATTGAACAGTATAGCCCCCTGGGTGATTGATTGTGGAAATTAACTTTGGTTTTGTGGAAAGAAAAATGTGTTTGCTTTGTACACTGAAGCAATAATGAATATTTTGCTACAAAGTTTTTCTAATTTAAGGTAAACTTTGGATACTCTCAATTAATATTGCAGCCCATACAAGTTTTTTTTTATTGAAATTAGCTCACAAGATTTTAGGCTCTATTACTTTTTCGAAGACCATACCATAAATGGAGTCCATTTACTAAGCGAGTATCTAGTATTCACCATAGAACTCCATGTCATCCTTGCCAGTCTTGTCATGGTTGCTGGCATTATTTGGGCCCCCGTTTATTGTCCCCGTCGAAATTGGGTTTCACTGTTTTTTTTTTTTTTTTTTTTTTTTTTTTTTTCCCCAAAAAAGTCGGCCGTCTCCACCCAGGCAGGGGGGGGACCCAAAAAAAGAAAATCCCCAAAAAAAAAAAAACCTTTCATCATCACTCAGCACTGTTAACCCTAGGGATTTGGCTCCAGTTCACTTTTTGGTTCGACATAGGAGTAGTCCAGAAACTTTGTGGGTCCCCCGGGTATTTTTGGGTAAAATTAAATGGTTGCTGAGGCAAAGGTTGCCATTTTAATGCACACAAAACAGTCTTCAGCTTTTTTTGGCTTTAATTCCCATCATTTGTTGGCATGTTCTTTTGGAAAATGGGGAGGACTAATGGTTCGAAGAAAAGCAAATTTTCCCGGGTTAGAAGGAGTCAGGTTTGGGTTTTCTTTCTAAAAAAACATTTTCATTGATGTAATTATCATTAGTTGAGGATAGGGCACACACACTCACCCAAGGAATTATCGTGCAGATCCCCTGCTCCTTCATTTGGGGCTAGTTTTTGTGACTTGTACATATTTATTTGGGATTTTGTTACCCTTTACCTTTTTTGTGTTTAAACATTTTTAATCATATTTTAAGTTACTGTGAGAACACTTACTGTTTTACCATGTACCTTTTAATGTGTTTGCTTTTTCTTATGATTGGTACGCTTTAGCTTGTAAGTGTTTGGTATGAATGTTTGTATGTATGTATTGTGTCCATTTATTGACAAAGGCAGTGAATAACCTATTGGCTTCAGCACTGTGTAAATTTTAAAATCAATTTCCTTTTTCTTAAATGAGTTTAGAAAATTTTTCAATTTGTGAAGTGAATATTTGAAAACTTTTCAAAACAAAATATGTTTATTTGATTAGATTTTTTATCACTATCAATATCTGTTTAAAAATTTGATTTAAAATTGCTTTGAATTCATCCTATTGTTCGTGCACTAAATACCTTTGTCATAAATTAACCTATTTTTTCTTTATTACAGTAACAATAAGACACAAATAGACCATGCAAAACCTCTCACCAAGAGTGGTTTTGACAAAGATGTGCAATCTTCATTACAACTCGTGAGCAACACTACAGTAACAGATGATGAGAGGTGTGAATTTGGATTACATTTGTGTAAAGAAAATGAAGAATGTGTGCCATTTGGAAAAAGAAGAAGGGATGGACTATGTCAGTGTGTCTCTGGTTTTTATCGAAAAACAACTGGAGGAGACTGTGTGAAAGGAGAACCTACATCGACATTGGCACCTAAAGAAGCTGAATCCACCACTTATCCTGGGAATGATAACAAAACTACAAGTGTTGATAGCTCATATACTCCAGATTCTCTCTCTTCTTTACCTGCAGCTCCAACCAGTGAAGTACCTCAGAAGGGGTCTGCATCAACCCCTTCTTCAAGCATGTCATCTCAGCAACCAGATGAAAAACTTGTTGTTAGCATTAATAACAAAACTTTGTACCTTCCAGCTGGCAGCACTTTTTATGAGGACAGAGTTACACTTTCAGCATATGCTATAGGAGGTATGTAATTCTTGAAAACTACTGTAGTATGAAGTATATACTGTTTGAGTGTGTCCATTGCTTAATTGATGCTTAAAATGGGACCCCCTAACATCTTGTGGTGTGCATTAAAAAAAGTTCTTAACAATGGCTGTCTCCCATCAAGGTAAAGTGACTGGAAAACAAGGAACATATTCACCATAATTCATAGAATATTTGTCTTGCCATAAATGTGTTGCTATCATAATTCAAATGACTGACCCTCCATTCTGCAACATTTTTACTCCTTCAGAGTGCAGGCACTGTACCTCCTACCTCCAAAACTCCAGTCTGGCTAACTGGTTTTCCTAAATTCCTTCATAACATTACCATGTTCACACTCCAACAGCACATCACACCTTAAAAGCAAGAGACTTATGTGCTGGCCCTGGTGGAATATGGATTCCTCACTCTACCTATGTCATATACAGCCTGCTATACATCAGCCCCTCTATCTGCTATGCAGATTTTTTGCAGCCTGGGGAAAGTTGGGTGCTGGCCTAGGTGGGGGAGAGGGCATTTTTTGTATGCCAGGTTTAGACAAGGTTCATCTGACATAATTGGGATCAGGTGTTCTCATTTCTTTTTTTCTGAGAATACCTGGTTTCCTTTTCAATTCTTGCCTGGGTTTGGGCAGTACACTTTTCCTGAATCATATCCTGTGGTGACCCTGTAAATCCCAACAACAATTAAAACTAAAAACCATGTATCGTCTCTCATCTTGATCTAACATGTTCGCACACCTGCTGGATGGTCAAGTCCCTACCACTTAAAACCTGCTTGACCCCCTCCCGTGTTTCCCATCCACCCTTCCTGGGATGACCCCTGCCCCTTCATCTTACTCTGCTTCATCCTTTTTAAATAGCCAAATTATGTACCTCAACAACCCCTTCACCCTGAATTATTTCCTCCTTAATCCTATATTACCCTTTAATTTCTTTCAGTGCATTGGCTGTATCCTACAGAAGCAGGGTGGCCCCAAAGAAAAACAAAAGTTTCTCTATTTAAATTTAGTAATGTGTACAAGAGAAGGTATTACTAGCCCCCTTGCTCCTGGCATTTTTAGTCTCCTCTTATGACACCCACGGCTTATGGAAGAAGAATTCTGTTCCACTTCCCCATGGAGATAAGAGGGAATAAGCAAGAACAAGAACTAGTAAGAAAAGAGAAGAAAACCCAGAGGGATGTTTGTATATATGTGCTTGTACATGCATGTGTAGTCTGACCTAAGAAGTAGCAAGATGTACATGAAATCTTGCATGTTTATGAGACAGAAAAAGACACCTTTTAATTTCTCTGCATGATACTCGCACCACTCGTTGCTCTGAACCACTGATATCTCCATTGCCTCCAGCCTCTTCCTTAATGCAACATTTAAAGTCCAGTCTTCACATCCATAAAAAAATGTTGGTACCATTATTCTCTAGTATATTTATATATCCACATACAAAAGAGCCCCACATTTATACATGGGCCATGCTTTACAGTATTTCACTAATGTAGTGGTTTTCAATTATACCAATTCTTCATTTATTCACTTCTTAAAATAAATATATTCACTACTCACTATAAGCTAAGGACAAAAATATTTTAAGGTAATGCATGTACTGTATATGCATTTTTTAGGCCTAACTCTATTGCTCACTGAATGTATGATTGTGTAAACAAGTTATCAGGCTTTTATGTTCATTTGAAAGTGAAAAAGGCTGTGTTTCACTTTACTGTACAGTACCTCTTTTCGGTGTTCCACGTTTTCATTGGCTTTCAGATGAGCCATTGTTCCTTATATTTGTTGCTTTTACCACTTTTCCGCCATTATTGTCACTTTCGTACAACAGTTGTGTAAGGGAAGGGTGACTGGCTCCATATTTTACCCTTAAACTGTCCAAATGTAGATCTATGTTTGTGCGCGTAGCGCTCCAACCTTGATTTTCTCCATAAGAAAGAATGTAAAAAAAACGTGTATCTATGTTCGGAGCACTATGTGAGTGAACATAGATCTACGCTTGGACAGTTTAAAGGTTAAGGTAAGTATTGTATGTGCTGTGTATTTATTTTGCTTTTCTCTTTTATCTGTTTTATTATGCCTAGCTGTATTGAGCACTTAATGTATGATAGTATAAGCTTTTTATCTGGCTTTTTACATGCATTCGATAATGAAAAACTATTCTTTTCTACCCACTGTCAATTTTCGCTTATTGTACGGGGCCACAAACCTTAGAGTCTTATGAACAGGGGCCCACCTATATAAATTTCTTTTTGTCTTTACACAGATATCACAACATACCACATATTTCTTTACCTCTTATCTGCTTTATGTTTCAACTCATCTCTTATTTACCTGGAGTTTACCTGGAGAGAGTTCCGGGGGTCAACGCCCCCGCGGCCCGGTCTGTGACCAGGCCTCCTTAGGTCAGTGTCCCAGGATGCGACCCACACCAGTCGACTAACACCCAAGTACCCATTTTACTGATGGGGAACATAGACAACAGGTGGAAAGAAACACGTCCAATGTTTCTACTCTGGCTGGGAATCGAACCCAGGCCCTCACCGTGTGAAGCGAGAGCGTTAACCACCAGGCCACCAGATCCATCTCCCGACTCGTCCATTTGCAAATATCTATACTATGTGTATGTATATTTTCTTAACACACTGGCCGTCTCCCATTGAGGCTGGGTGACCCAAAAAAGAAACGGTTCATCATTCACACTACAGGCACTCCATACTTAACAACTGAGTTCCATTCCTAAGAGTAGGTCAGTAAGCGAATTGGTCATTAAGTTTCGAGCTGTCCCTTATTGATATTTCAAGAATACTGTACTGGTAGTGGGTTTGTGTCAACCATCTTTAGATATAGTTTTCATGTCATCTTTGCACCATTTATAACATTTTTAGTACAGTGGAACCTCAGATTTTGAACTTAATCCTTTCCAGAAGGTTGCTCTAAATCCGAAAAGTGCGAAAACCGAAATAATATTTCCCATAAGAAATAATGTAAATACTACAATTAATCCATCCCAGACTCCAGATAAACTCCAGGTAAACACCCAAAAATATTCACAAAAAATTAATTTTTTAAAGAATAACTATAGTTTTACATACAGACAACAATGAGAAATAAATATAAACATCCTAGGTAGTAGGTTGGTAGACAGCAACCGCCCAGGGAGGTACTACCGTCCTGCCAAGTGAGTGTAAAACGAAAGCCTGTAATTGTTTTACATGATGGTAGGATTGCTGGTGTCCATTTTTCTGTCTCACAAACACACAAGGTTTCAGGTACATCTTGCTACTTCTACTTAAACTTGGGTTGCACTACACATGCATGTACAAGCATATATATACACACCCTGCTGGGTTTTCTTCTATTTTCTTATTAGTTCTTGTTCTTGTTTATTTCCTCTTACCTCCATGGGGAAGTGGAACAGAATTCTTCCTCCGTAAGCCATGCGTGTTGTAAGAGGCGACTAAAATGCCAGGAGCAAGGGGCTAGTAACCCCTTCTCCTGTATATATTAATAAATGTAAAAGGAGAAACTTTCGTTTTTCCTTTTGGGCCACCCCACCTCAGTGGGATATGGCCGGTGTGTTAAAAGAAAAAAAGAAGAAATGTAAACATTACATACCTTTACTGAAGACTCTTGTTGGCATATTGAAATAGATGAGGAGGGGAGGGGGGGGGTTGAGGTTATAGTGTGGAAGGGGAATCCTCTGCCATAAGGACTTAGGTATCAAAGCCCTCTCTGGGGTTACTTCCCTTCTTTTGTCTTTTACTTGCACTAGGACCAACTTGAGAGTCACTGCACCCGTCGCACAAAAAAACTGTCCAGTGGGCTCTGTTTCTGGCGTCTCTTTAAGATTAGCCTGAAGTAGGACTAGGATTTGTCACTGAACGTGTTACAGATATAGCTTGTTTCTACTTGGTCAGGGTAATATTTTTCAACAAAAGTTTGCACTCATTCCACTTTGCACACATGTCCTTAGTCTTTAAACTGTCCAAAAGAAGATCTGTGTTCGCTCGTGTAGCGCTCCTAACGTAGATCTACGTTTTTTTTTTTTTTACATGCTTTCAAATGGAGAAAATCAAAGGTTGAGCGCTATGCGCATAAACATAGATCTATGTTTGGACAGTTTAAGGGCTAATCACTGAAAAAGGCACCTTCTCCCTTCCCTCTTCCTCCTCCTCTGAAGCAATTTCCTCAGCTTGCAGTCTGTTGCTGTTCCAGTTAAAGGTCTTGCAGCTCTTGCTCTCTTTCTTTAATGCTATCATGTTTCTCAATTTCTTTACCAAAGGGCTGGCACTAGGAGCTTTCTTTAGGGCCATGGTGGCTTATTTTGCAGTCACAATCAATAAACAAGCACAAAAATTGCAAAATGTTTTGGATGAATGCTCACTTGAGCAGTGACAAAGCCAGACTGACGGTGTTCCCCAGGCGGACAGACGTGTATGATACATGTGATTCCCAGGACAATGTCTGAAATTCTAAGCAAAATTTCGCACAAAGAAAGTGTCTGAAGTCTGAAAAGTCTGATATCCGGTGAGTGCGAAATCTGGGGTTCCACTATGTACTAAAAATAGAACTATGCATTAAAAACAATAAAAAAGTAAAACACACATACAGTGTAGGTAGTAGGTTGGTAGACAGCAACCACCCAGGGAAGTACTACCATCCTGCCAGATGACTGTGAAACAGAAACCTGTAACTGTTTTGCATGATGGTAGGATTGCTGGTTTCTTTTTTCTGTCTCATAAACACGCTAGATAACAGGGATATCTTGCTACTCCTACTTACACTTTGGTCACACTTCACAGACACGCACATGCATATATATATATACATACATCTAGGTTTTTCTCCTTTCTAAATAGCTCTTGTTCCTCTTTATTTCTTCTATTGTCCATGGGGAAGTGGAAAAGAATCTTTCCTCCGTAAGCCATGCGTGTCGTATGAGGCGACTAAAATGCCGGGAGCAATGGGCTAGTAACCCCTTCTCCTGTAGACACT